GCGCCATCCTCACAACTGCTGTTTGTTATGCTTAAGCTGCCATTGTGCCAATCCATCCCGTTGAAGAGCCTTCTTCTTTTTTTTTTTTTAACTGTCCCTCCATTTTACCTAGCATGATTTCCTTCTCCAGGGACTGGTCCCTCCTGGAACATGTCAGAAGTATGAGACACAAAGTCTTGCCACTCTGGCTTCTAAGGAGCATTCTAACTGTACTTCTAACACAGATCTGTTTGTTCTTCTGGAAGTCCATGGTACGATATCAAATCTCTTTTACAAACCGGGCTCCCCCTTACACACAGGCTAGCATAAACACCAGACAGTGAACCACAAGGTCAGTGATTTTGAGCCCACCAGTTGGAGAAAGATGAGGCTTTCTGTTCGTACAAAAGAATTAAAACCTCGGAAATCCTTTACAAGGTCACTATGAGTCAAAATTGACTCCATAGCACTTAACAAGAAGTTTGAATCCAGCTTATGTGGAGGTAGGGTCATCAGGTGAAAAGGTCCTGTTTATGTTTGATCTCAAGATTACTAAAAAATATCACATGAAGTGTGATATTACGATTCAGTTATGAAGATAGAGAAACAGGCATAGGAGTTCTAAAATAAAGATGTTTTAAATCTATCACTGCCCCATTTTCCTCTTTCTGAGAAATAGAAATTCACTGGAATCATTAACATAAAATATGATGATTAATGTGGAAATGTCTAAGATTCTGAAAATAAAGGGTCATCATGTACCCAGTGTAGTGAGGATAGTAATGAATCTCAATATCAAAGACATATATAGGTCTAGGAAGCCTTTGTTCCTCAACCTACTCTTGCGGGGCTCGATGGAAACTAGATTATTATTCAAAATCTGGGTTTGATATGGTTTGAAAAATAAATGGTATGAAGGTGAGTATATATTACGTTGTTTTTGCTAAATTTTCACGTGCCATCAAATCAGTTCTGATTCATAGCGACTCTGTATACAGTTTCTGAAGAGTGGCTGCTGGATTTGAATTACCAACCTTGCAGTTAGCAGTTCAGTGCTTATCCTGCAGTGCCACACCAGGACTCATAAAGCCCTGTAAATCCAATCGGATTCGGATTATACACTTGCAACATTTCAAATTCATCACCAAATGATTTAGTGACTTATTTTGGGGCTTTTGGTTCACTTGTATTAGCCTTGTTCATCATGGCAAGTAGTTTCAGGGATTTGACATATATAATATTGCTGTCAAAGAATAACCACACAATTTTCCCATACATAAAGCGTGTTTGTTCAAAAAACAAATACAAGAAAGAGTGAAAAAGGCAAAGAGAAACTAAATATATTCTGTGCCAAATAATGAAATATAATTCATTACATTCCTATTTAAATATAATGCTTGCATTAACTACAGCAAGTGCGGCAACTGTAGTGAGGTTGGCCCAGGATGGGGCAGTGTTTCATTCTGCCGTGCATAGGGTCACTATGGGTTGGTACTGACTTGATGACACCTAACAACAACAACAACTAGGCATTTAGATAAGACTGCTTGGACACCTCAATTAGATTCCTGTTGAAGAACAAAGTGTTCTTTATGTTTATGAATTCTCATGAGTATTGATATCTTCATGGTCATAAACCAAACCAAACCCACTGCCATAGAGTTGATTCTGGACTCATATCAATTCTTTACACTGTTGCTGAGACTATACATCTTAACAGGAGCCACATCTTTCTTGAGGACTGGCTGGTGGGTTTGAAGTACCAACCTTGTGGTTAACAGTCCAGTGCTTACTCTACAGCACCACCAGACCTCCTCTTCATAATTATACTGATGCCAAATTTCAGCTTTTTCCATTTTTCGATCTTTAAAATTATGAAATAAATCTGTATGTCTAGTACAATTTCATCAGTGGAATTTTTCAAGCACTACCCAGAAGTGAAATTTAACCAATGCCTTAATTTCAAGATTAGGGACTCTTTTCTTAAAAAAAAAAAAAAAAGCATTAAACTTTACTAAAGATTTGGGGTGAAAGGGAGTGAGAGCTGTATTTTGCAATTCCTAGTGTGGTGCTGTGGGTTAATGCACTCAACTGCAAAGTCAGTTTGAACTGCAACGTTGGCTGTTCAAGATCACCAGTCACTACTCAAGAAACCTAGACAGGTTCACCATGGGTCAGAACCAACTAGACGGCACTTAGCAACAACAACCACATCTCATTGGAGTCCTGGTGTGGCACTATAGGGTATGCACTTTGACAGTTCAAACCCACCAGTTGCTTCTCGAAATCCTATACAGGGAACAATCTCAATGGCACTTAATAACAACAATAGCTCTTAACGTCCCTACAACTAGAGATTGTCATAGACATCTATGTTCAAATTAGTCCACCTTCTCTCTCCCTCTTTCTTATACTGCCCTAATGCATCTCTGGGAATCCATGGGCAGTGCAAAAGGTTAACAAGTTTGGCTGCTAGCTGAAGAGCTGGTGGTTCAATTTCAACTAGAGGCATCTCAAAAGAAAGGTCTAGTTATATACTTCTATGATGACAACTAGTTTTATGGGTTCTATGAAGAAAAATGTGACATCAGGATTGGAGGAAGACTCATTAACAACCTGCGATATGCAGATGATACAACCTTG